GCGAGAGGGGGGGGGGGAGGCGAGAGAGTGGGGTGGGGGAGGCGAGAGTGGGGGGGGGGAGGCGAGAGTGGGGTGGGGGAGGCGGGAGGGAGGGGGTGGGGAGAGTGGGGTGGGGGGGGGGGCGAGAGTGGGGTGGGGGAGGCGAGAGTGGGGGTGGGGGGGGAGAGTGGGGTGGGGAGGCGAGAGTGGGGGGGGGAGGCGAGAGTGGGGTGGGGGGGGAGGTGGGGGGGGGGGAGGCGAGAGTGGGGTGGGGGGGGGGAGGCGAGAGTGGGGGGGGGGAGGCGAGAGTGGGGGGGGGGAGGCGAGAGTGGGGTGGGGGGGGGGGGGAGGCGAGAGTGGGGGGGGAGGCGAGAGTGGGGTGGGGGGGGGGAGGCGAGAGTGGGGTGGGGGGGGGGAGGCGAGGGAGTGGGGGGGGGGAGGCGCGAGTGGGGTGGGGGGGGGGGAGGCGAGAGTGGGGTGGGGGGGGGGGGGGAGGCGAGAGTGGGGTGGGGGGGGGGGCGAGAGTGGGGGGGGGGAGGCGAGAGGGGTGGGGTGGGGGGGGGGAGGCGAGAGTGGGGTGGGGGAGGCGAGAGTAGGGTGGGGGAGGCGAGAGGGGGGGGGGGAGGCGAGAGTGGGGGGGGGGAGGCGAGAGTGGGGGGGGGGGGGGGGGGGGAGGCGAGAGAGGTGGGGGGGGGGAGGCGAGGAGAGTGGGGGGGGGGGAGGCGAGAGTGGGGTGGGGGGGGGGAGCGAGAGTGGGGGTGGGGGGGGGGAGGCGAGAGTGGGGGGGGGGAGGCGAGAGTGGGGTGGGGGGGGGGAGGCGAGAGTGGGGGGGGGGGGAGGCGAGAGTGGGGGGGGGGAGGCGAGAGTGGGTGGGGGAGGCGAGAGTGGGGGGGGGGAGGCGAGAGTGGGGTGGGGGAGGCGAGAGTGGGGTGGGGGAGGCGAGAGTGGGGGGGGGGAGGCGAGAGTGGGGTGGGGGAGGCGAGAGTGGGGTGGGGGAGGCGAGAGTGGGGTGGGGGGGGGGAGAGTGGGTGGGGAGGCGAGAGTGGGGGGGGGGAGGCGAGAGTGGGGGGGGGGAGGCGAGAGTGGGGTGGGGGGGGGGAGGCGGAGTGGGGGGGGGGGGGGGAGGCGAGAGTGGGGGGGGGAGGCGAGAGGGGGTGGGGGGGGGGGAGGCGAGAGTGGGGTGGGGGAGGCGAGAGTGGGGGGGGGGAGGCGAGAGTGGGGTGGGGGAGGCGAGAGTGGGGGGGGGGAGGCGAGAGTGGGGTGGGGGGGAGGCGAGAGTGGGGTGGGGGAGGCGAGAGTGGGGTGGGGGGGGGAGGCGAGAGTGGGGGGGGGGAGCGAGATGGGGTGGGGGGAGGCGAGAGTGGGGGGGGGGGGGAGGGAGCGTGGGGTGGGGGGGGGAGGCGAGAGTGGGGGGGGGGATGCGAGAGTGGGGGGGGGGAGGGGGAGTGGGGTGGGGAGGCGAGAGTGGGGGGGGGGGAGAGTGGGGGGGGGTGTAGCCCCTCACCTGGCGCGCCGGCGTCAGGGTGCCGTCCACGTCGAAGAGGCACAGCACCGACTCGTCGCGGGTGCCCGCCATGGCCCTCTTGCCACCAACACCCCCACTACCACCACCACCGCTACAACCGCCGCTACCACCACCACCACCACCACCCTACCCCACCACCGCCGCCACCACGCCACCACTACCAACACACCGCTACCACCACCGCTACCACCACCGCTACCACCACCGCTACCACCACCGCTACCACCAACACCCGCTACCACCCACCACCACCACCGCACACCACCACCGCCACCACCGCTACCACCCCACCAACACCACCCTCCTCCTCGCTCACGGAGCGTTCAAACCGGCGGCGGCAGCGGCTCGTCTTCCCCTCGTAACCAACCCCAACAAGTTACAAGTCGCGTGACGTCATTCACACTTACACGTCGTCGTGCGTGACGTCTTCCGCTTGCGGATTTACGTCATCTACGAATGGACGTCATCTTGTTACGAGTGACGTCATCTTACTAATGACGTCTTCTTACTCCTGACGACCACTTACTAATAGTGGTGTTACCCTTTTAAACTGGTTACAAACTGACACCTTTATTCAAGCTACATGTGTGCATAACACAACACAGTAGTCAAAAAGCAAACAAAAAAAGCAACTCTGATAATGATAATAACTATGCACTGTCCTTGAAGTTTATTGGTCCACACCCGAGACGGCTTTCTTTAGAGCCTAGTCCCCATTGGTGTTGGACCAGATGACACCAGAAGGCGTACGCCTTTTTTGACTACTTGTGTTGTGGTTATTGCAAACATGATGCCTTGAATAAAGGTGTCAGTTTTGTACCAGTTTAAAAGGGTAACAACCTACTACTATATTTTGCCACTGGTAAAAGAGATCTCATAGTGACCACTTACTAATGACGCCGTCTTACTACGAATGACGTCATCTTACTAATGCCGTCATCTTACTACGAATGACGTCATCTTACTAATGACGCCTTCTATGAATGACGCCAACTTATACTAAATGACGTCACCCCTGCAACCGCAGCCTCATTCCCAATCCTCGCATTACGAGCGTATAGGCAAAGATGATCGCACTCAGGATGGTATTTTAAACAATAAAACTCTTTAATACTAACGAACGAAAAACGCGAAAGCCACATTCACTCCCGATTCCACACACAGTTCCACCTCAATCTCCCTAGTTTGTCTACACTATTAATTACGTCATATTATGACTAATTGCGTCATCTTACCACTAAAGTACATGACGTTTTAGCGCGTTAACAATGGCAGGCGTCGGTGACGTCACTCGCAGACTAAAACTTGCGGCGACTCTCAAATCTTTATAGTGTGGAGGAATCCGATGAGCTGTAAAGCTCCTTTCCCGACAGATGTCCAGAAGATCCCCGTTTCGTTAAGCGTAACCGTTATGAATGAGGCTAAAACCTTGTCTAATGACGTCATTGACTAGCGAGTGGCGACACTTACGTGACGTCACGTAATAATTTGAAAGTGACGTCACTTGCAATGGTCCACGTCACTTGTGGTTGTGATGTTATGAAATTGGGATATTGCCCGAAACGTCGCCTATTTTTCCCCTTTAAGGTCACGCACAGTGTTACTGACAAACAGTGTTGAGTTCGTATTTGTCGTTCGAAGCACATTCAGAATCAACATGCTTCTTTTTTTCTTCACCTGAAGACGGCTGCTTGTGTTGTAGCCGAAACGTCGTGAGAATTATTTTATTTTATTATGTTTTTATTTTTATTATTTTGTACTTTCCTTCTACGTGACTTTACCGAAAGAACCCAAGAAGATGAACATGCTTCTTCTTGGTTCTTTCGGTAAAGTCACGTAGAAGGGAAATAATGAAATACAGCATAAATAACAAAAATTCAACATGTATTTAGATTAAATTTGATTTAAAGCTTTCGTGACTGCAGGGATTCATCTTCTTGGTTCTTTCGGTAAAGTCACGTAGAAGGGAAGTAATAAAATAATAAAAATTAAACATAATAAAATTATTCTCACGACGTTTCGGCCACAACGCAAGCAGCCGTCCTCAGGTGAAAACCAGGTCCGTCGAGGCGACAGAGTCTTCACCTGAGGACGGCTGCTTGCGTTGTGGCCGAAACGTCGTGAGAATAATTTTATTATGTTTTATTTTTATTATTTTTATTATTTTATTACTTCCCTTCTACGTGTCTTTACCGAAAGAACCAAGAAGATGTATTTAGATTATTTTGCTGCTGTAACTTTCCACACGAAAAGCCACTTTGCTGAGCCATCGTGTGTGGCACAGGTGGCTTCTAAAAAAACAAGTTAATACCTCAGTGGGCATTACCCGATAAGACAATATTTAGTTGGGTTTTATTTGTATAGTTCCCGAAGCGATTTACCTTTCCTATACTTTGCACTCATGTCATGTTTTATATTGTTTATATAGTTTTTTTTTTAATATCGTTTGCAGTCTAAACACATACATTCGGATGCAGTCTGCAAATGGGGCAGCAATCCATTTACAGTTCCCGCGTTGCCATGGAGACCCCCCCCCCCGGCGAGATGACGTCACAACCCCCCCCGGCGAGATGACGTCACAACCCCCCCGGCGAGATGGACGTCACCCCCCCCGCATCTCGTTGGGGGCGGGGCCCTCGCCTCGCTTCACCCCCCTGACCAAGATGGCCACGTGGCCGCTCCGCGTCCGACCTCTGCCTCAGCTACTCCTCCGCGCCGCCAACTCGGCCGGCCGCCACCCTGCCGCCCCCCTCGTCGCGGAGCTCACGACACTGTCGAGGTATAGAGCGAGAGAGGTGGGGGGCACGGACCTCAGCACGCAGCCAGCGCGTCGTCATCTCTGACCCACTAACACCAACGACCTCCTCCATTCGTTAGCGCGGCAGCGCGCATCAACCACACGGGAAGGGACTGCGGCAAACATCGTCGCGGGGTGTATTCATCACACTTGAAGGGGGAGGGGTTCGGCGCGGTAAGGGTCTGCGGTAAACGGTGCTTGATTATATTCTTGGTTAGAGTCAACATGCATCTTCTTGGTTCTTTCGGTAAAGTCGCGTAGAAGGGAAATAATAAAATAAAAAAAATAAAAAAAATTATCACAACGTTTCGATTGCAACACAAGCAATCATCATCAGGTGTGAAAACCACAGCAATAAAAAAAATTCTAATTTTTTCAAATGTTCTTGCTGTGGTTTCTCACCTGATGACGATTGCTTGTGTTGCAATCGAAACGTCGTGAGAATTTAATAGTTTTTTTTTATTTTATTATTTCCCTTCTACGCGACTTTACCGAAAGAACAAGAATATGAATCTCTACAGTCACGAAAGCTTTAAATCGAAAGGGACTTGATTATTTTGGGTTGTCTTTAACACGAAACAGATAACTTTTATCTTATTTATTTTACCAGGTAACATCGTATTTGTTTTAACCAGGTTAAGGGCCCAATATAATTTCACATTGCGTGACCCCTTGAGTTAGCACGTGGTGGCGCACACACACATAACAAACTTAACACGTTTGTCAACAACGTTGCGGCCTTAACTGCAAAATATATTCAGCAATAGGCAATGCATTTCATTCATGGAGCAACATTGGACGAAATTGCTTATTTTTTCTAATTCGTGCTTTGGTTAAAGCTTGAACAACTTGTGATTGGTTGATGGTTCGCAGTTGTTGGCTCGTGGTTGTTGTTATTTGACCGTTAACTCGTAAATTCGCATGGATGTCTCAACCCATACGGTTTGTACCCCGTGTTCTTGTACACGGAAATTGAATTTTCAGGTCTTTTTGTTTGTTTTTCTCTCGTGATGGGACTTTTTAGGATGAATGTTGAGATTTTTAAGGGGCACGCGGTGACCAATAAGGTCTGAATTGATCCGTAATAAGAAAAAGGCACTGATGATTTGAAGCGCTCTACCTAGCATTTACCTGTTTTAAACCTTTTTCATGTGTAGTAGTACCCCAGTAATTACCCTGTGATCGGGTTATTTGTACGGGGTAAGGGTAAAAGGTCGGATAAAGATAGGCTCGTTGCTTTTGACCTTTTACCTTACCTTGCTAAAGGGTAAAAGGTAGGGGATAGAGTGATTGCATTGTGGTAAGGGTAAAGGTAGGCTCATTGTTTTGACTTTACCTTGCAGAGGCCTAACAATAGATGAGAGTGTTGTGGACCTGCAAGTGCGGTGGTAGTTGAGACGAAACGCCCGGGTCTGCTGGTGAACAATCTGTGAGGACGAGTTAAGTAGTCTTTTGAGTCTCGTCGCATTCTGCAGTCAATCTGTTTTTTTACGTGCCAATATTTGTTCAGGAAGGCCGCGGAGTAATGAATTCACGAATTTCGATTTAACGCTTTCGTGACTGCAGGGCTTCATCTTCTTGGTTCTTTCGGTAAAGTCACGTAGGTAGAAAAAATAAAAGATCACGACGTTTCGCAACACAAGTTCCCCCCCACCACCTCTCTCTATACCACCTGAAGACGGTCGTTTGTGTAGCGAAACGTCGTGATCTATTATTTTTTCGACCAACGTGGCTTTACCGAACGAACCAAAGAGTAAAGAAAGGGCACTGATAAGGGGTTGACAGGTTTGTTTGTATTCGTCAACACAGCTGGACTTGGTTAATGGTTGACATGATGTACATTTGTAAATGGTTGATACAACTTGCTTGTGATTGGTCTGTTGGGTTAACGTAGCCTGTTCTGATTTGGCTGATGGTTCAACAAAAATTTAAATGACACAATCCTGGTCTCTTGAGTTTCCACCACATTGTTTAAACGAATGAACTTGACCTGGCACCGGAGCTCATGATTGGTCAATATTGTGCTTTATTAGTCGACGTTTTAACACAGCTTGGCTCTTGATTGGTTAACGGTAGACATGTTGTACATGTTGAGAATGGTTGACACAACTTGGTCGTGATTGGTCCTTTGGTTGACGTAGCTTGTTCCTGATTTGCTGACTGTTAGATCAAAATGCAAATGACACAGTCCTGATCTCTTGGTCTGACACCGGAGCTCATGATTAGTCAATATTGTGCTTTATTGGTCAATGTGTAGTGACATTTTATTATGTTTTATTTTTATTACTTTCTACGTGACTTTACCGAAAGAACCAAGAAGATGAATCCCTGCAGTCACGAAAGCTTTAAATCGAAATGTAGTGACATAGCGCTGACTGTTGGACAGCAACTGCAGGTGGGCACTTAGCGCACACGCCGCTGAGCATATACGCGGGTGTGCCGGCAGGGCGGAGGAAGTGGGGTAAGGGTCATGATAGACCTCGTGTGGAAGCCCCTGGAATCCTCTAGAGCAGGGGTCGGCAACCTACGGCTCCGGAGCCGCATGCGGCTCTTTACGGGTTGCTTCTTGACGATATGTACGTCAGTATGTACTCAGATGCATTGCGGCTCTTGAAATACTGAATTTTGTACCGAATTGGAAAGAAATGGCTCTTCTTGTTATTTTGGTTGCCGACCCCTGCTCTAGAGGGTTCGAGAAGGGAGGCGCGGCTAGTGCGGAGCCAAGCCGCTCCGATGGGAATATAAGCAGCGGAGAGCGAGAGCTCTGGGCTACCTGTTCTGGGATTGAACTCGTCTCGTCGTCGCTGTCATCCTCGTCGCCCTCGTCGCTGCCGCCTTCGCCCGATTATGGCGCGGCCGGACAGTGGTTGGCTGTCCCGGTCGACGCCGTCGGTGCAACGCGGACAGGGTCGTGTCTGGGACGAGACGCGTGGCAGCGGGGTCGTGTTTGAGAGAGAGAGAGAGGGGGGGCCCGAGTGGTGGCATGAGCTCGGCAACAACGAATAAGGAGGGCAGAGCGGTGCCTCCTGCGACCACCTCGTCTCCGGCTGACTGTGTGTGCGTCGCACGCCACTCGCATGCAGAGACGACACTACAAATGTTTACTGCAGATCTGTCCTCCCCTGCAGGTGGCATGGACTGCGTAGAAACAACAGTAGCATCATTACCTGCGCAAGTCTCAGCAGCCGTGGGTTCAATGCTGGACGACCTCTTACGACAGCGCGGGGCTCTGCCACTCACGACCCGGCGTCAAGGTCATCATCGGAGTCAAATGTGGACTCCCCCAAATCCTTCCACTGCTAACATTCAAATGATCTAGAATACTGCCGACAGACCCCTCAATCACGCCCCGTAAATGAGCTCCACATCACTCCAATTCTCAAAACTTTCCACTGGCTCTCGATCCGTAAACCGGACAATTCAGGATTCTCCACAGCCTCGTCTTCCCTGCCTACCTCTCCTACTCGCACGCTCTTCAGCTCCACCAACCGAGGCCTTCCGTTAAAACTCTCAGTCACCCTCCCCCCCTGAATGGGAGGTCACTGCTGCTGCTGTGCTGGCCGTGAGGTCTGAGAATCCCCTCCCGTGGTCATTTGTGCTGTTCAGGTCCAGGCTCAAGACCTTCCTCGTATCCACTGCCCATAACTGCCTGTCTCTCCATAATAATGGTTTTTTGGGTTAGATCGCGTAAATATAAAATGTGTCGTTAAAACCCGCCACCACCCAACACAGCCAATTAGCAAGGTTTGTCACGCAAACAAAACATGCTAAAAACATGCCAACTCGTTCACCTGTCTCCTAAGTCTCTCTTCTCCTCTCTGCCCAGTAGCCTTGTGCTCTTCGTCATCCATCTGAAAATAATCCACAAAAAAGCCTCCCCCCCCACCTCCGGCCGCCCCTCCCCCCCCCTCTTTAGTTACCAATATTTTCACGACCCCTTCCCCTTCTACGTCTGTTTGCACAGTCTCCTGAGACGCAATCACATTCAGACTCTTTCAAAATTCAAATACACTTTATTTGGGGCGGTGAAACAAGCAGCATTTTTTGCAAAGGGTATGCGGTTCGTTCCCAGTGGCCCCCCAGGTTGATACTGTGGGCGTAGTAACCAAAATGCAAGCCAACTTCACAATGGACGCTAAAGATCCTGTCACATTCGAAAAAAAGGTAGGCCTTGTGTGCCGGCATCACGGTTAAAAGTTGCCAAATTTTACCCGCAAACTACCTCACTGGGTAAAGGCACGTAATATAAACATAGCCCACTCTTGTGAGACTGCGGACTGCTATCATCTGCGGAACGTAGCAACTTCCTTCGTGATAGCCAGCCGCTATAAGAATGGCGCCAATATCGAATGCGCTCCCGATTTGATTCGCAGGTCAACATCGGGAGAGGATGGAAGGGGTGATATCTTCATTCCGATTTACCGCTTCCCGGCCATCAGAGCGACGCGCTTCATATCGCGACTCAAGAACGTGCAGACGATATTCATGGTGGTTGCATTGCCACCCATCTATTACCTGCACACGCAGGTGAGACTGGGGGAAACTGGCAGTTCAAAGGGTTCATAATGGCCGTGTCAGAGCTACTAACCCTGAAACAGCTGAGATCCTGGGTTTGAATCAACATTTCAACCGCCAGTAGTTAAACCAGGTTGTCAAGTGAGGTGAAGTGATTGTATGTCAATTCAAGGCACCACGCTGTCAAATGTATTCTCTCCAACAATAGATCAGTCAACAGTAAGTCAATATTTCTGCCCACCCTACTCCGAAGGACCGTTTCCCAAAACGTTAGACATTTGATACATTTTTTTTTCTGTTGAAGGCCTTGTTAATTACAAAGCTGTTGAATATCTTTAAAAACGTTGCGTTTGTGCACTGCTGCCAACGAAATTCCTTAATATGCATTTTACCTGATGCTTGTGGCAGATTGATATCAGGAGAATGTTCAATTTCATCTAGCCTTTGGCTAAAATGCACCAACAATGGGCAAATAGCCAAAGGAATTAGAAATACCTTGGCAAATGGCCAAGGCACTTCAACCATAAATCTTGCATGTTTGCGCGCATGTGCAAGGTAGCACAGTGGGGAGTGCAAGCGGTGCATGTGCCAGTCATCTCGCTCAGTTTATCCATGACTCCTGGGTCACACCTGGATCTGTCCCATGACCTCTTTGCCAGCCAGCGAGCCTTGGACACTTCACGTGATGATCTCAAAGTGCACCTCGCACCCAAGAGCCCCGCAGTGATGACATCGCTCTCACTCGATGGCAAATGACAGCGGCTGTTGTTTGTTTGTCGTCGTCGTCGCGTGCGGGGTGAGCGGCAGGGCCTGGTGGACGAGCACTCATTGCGGCTAACGTCGGGCGTTGCCGCCCTCGCCTGCTGCTCCCTCTACGGCATCAGCCACTACCTGCGACGCTGGGTGGGGCTGATGGCGCTGAGCGCCGACGGCAGCACGCTCCGTGTGTCGCACCTCTCCTTCTGGGGCGGGCGCCGAGACCGCTTCGTGCCCGTGGCGGACGTGGTGCCGCTCTCCGAGGGCCGTGACCGACCCCAGGACCCGCTGCTAGCGCTGCGCTGCTACTCGCACCGCGACGTGCTGTACTTCTCGCTGCGCTACGGCCGCGTGCTCGACGGCGTGAAATTCCGCGCCGTCTTCGGCGATACGTTCGTCTCACCGGATCGGTGATGGTGAAAATAAAAAACACACCATGCTGCCGTAAGAATGTGGAGTTGAAACCACTGGCACAGAACTAATATTGGCGAGCGGGATAAGAGGCTCGTTTGAGCAGGAAGACATGCTCTTACATCCCCTTCCTACAAACGTCCCAGCCGTCCCAGCCGTCCGTGCTGTTGACTCCCTGCGTCTATCCAAGTCCAGGCTCGAGACCTTCATTTTCCGACCGACTGCCTCTCCCTACAAATATAAACACTTCTCCTGTCACCGTACATCTTCTTGAGATGCAGTAACATCTAAGCGCTATATTATTCCACGTTGTATCCCTTATGGGGCCGATTAACCTCCAATAAAACTTTAACTGGCGACCTCCGACTGCCGAGTCGAGTGCCCTGAGCATACTGCCACCTCGCTGGGCGTTGTGCCGTCATTGCGCAAAACTGTTGTTTTTAAAACAACACTTTTAATCTTTAAACGAACTGTGTTTAAACGGTGTGTGTTAAGGAGCCCAGTACCCGTGGAACCTGTGAAGCGCAATGTTTCATTGTCAACAAGGGTCATAATCTGATGAAAATCTGCTCGATAATCAACTCTTTTGAGTTCTATTCTTGGCCACAGCTGACATCAGTGGTGAGTGATAACCAAACTGGTCCTGGGCACTCCCCCGACTCTCACCGACCAGCGTGGTGAAGTATGTTTAAACCCCCATATAACCGGCATGGCATTCGTCCAGCGGTGTATTAACAAGGGCTGTACATTCTACATTCTTGTGTAGTGCTTGTGTAAGATTACGCTGCAAATGGAATGGAAGCTCCCGTAATTCTTAGGCTTGCCAGCTTTGTTTTACTTTTTATCCAATATAAATACAAAACGTGAAAATAATTCAATCGGATCTCGTGATGGTTTACACGTGCGTTTTACACTTACGTCAGTTGCGGCTGTAAAGGTATAGCCAGGGACTGGTGAACTCGTTAACACATCATTTACAACAGCCCATAAAGTCACCCAGGTCAGCGGTTCAAATGCCAACCAAAGGTCAACTCAGCCCATCATCATCATCCTCCGGGGGTCGATAGAATTTGGCAATACCACTTTGTGGGAAGCCAACAGTGGATAGACTCCCACTTGCCATGGGAATGTGGAATGTGCACCACTGGCCGAGGAAGGACTACCAGCAGAGATGAGTACTGTCCAATGCTCATATACGGAGAGACAATCTAGTTTACTTTTGTTGATAGAAATAAACTACTGCCCTTTGTCATCCATCCACTGTTAATAAATGAAACCACTGCTGGAAGTAGACCTCCCCACCAGGGGGCGGGGGCTGTTTGACCATACTTCACCACGCTGGTCCACAGCCACTGCTGTTATCCGTCGCCAGGAATCGAACTCTGCAGGTTATCTGGATTCACAGCGGAGTGCGCTGACCATTGCACCACAGCTCCCCAAAGTTTAGATTCATTGACAGGTACATTCTTTTGGGTCTTTCGGTAAAGTCACGGAGATAGGCTCTATCTACGCGACTTTACCGAAAGACCCAACAATATGAATTCCTTCTTTGGTTCTTTGGGTAAAGTCACGTATAAAGATAAAATAATAAATTAAATTAAATACTAGCATACGACGTTTCGATTGCAACACAAGCAATCATCAGGTATAAATTAAATAGAAACACAAATCTAGTATACTTAGAAATGTAATGTAATACAACAGAGAGTCGGATAACATAACAGTCAACACCCTATCTGGTTGATTACGTTCTTCCTGAGAATGCTAAATTTGAGAGAGAGATTAAACACAGAACCAGAAACATAGAATAATTCCTGCAGTCACGAAAGCTCCAAATTAAGTTTAAATATGAATTCCTGCAGCTGCGAAAGCTTTAAGTCAAGGTTTCATTGACAGGTGTTGTTTAACCCAGTCCCGAGCGGCTTTAATGTGCACGAGCGACGCAATACTGCACGTGTTTTATTACTTAGCGTGGTTGTAAAAAGGTGCTTTCGTTTGACAGCCGATAAGGAGGCGGATTCGATTTCAGTCTGTGAAGGATGTCAGCTCATTGCTTCATTTAACGAGCCTTGGGACCCCATGCTAGACCTTGGGAGTTTATGAAGGCCTCACGACTGAGGTCTCTACGGTATATGGAGACGTTTACTGTTTGACATCGACAATTACAATTCACCACGATCATTATTCTGACGTCGTATTCGACGAGTAAATTGACTTGGCCAGCTGGCTACATCGCCTATTGGCGCGGGATAATAGCCGATGGCACGAGACGGTTGAATGAGGGGAAGGGTTCCAAGGCTCTAGGACAAGCACCACCGTCATGAGCGATGTCAGTGATGGGATCAGTTCACGTGCGGGGAGATGAGAGGACCAATGGTGGGCGGTTGGGGAGGCCTCCATCCAGCGGTGGATAGACAATGGCCCGTTCTAAATAACGATTTTGAACACTTAGAACGATAACATGAAATGGCTTCATCGCCACAGAATACGTTGAAAGGCAAGGCCATTAAGCAAAGGGCTGTTTATTTTTAGTATTTGCAAAATGCAAAACCCCTGGATCTGCCGTCTCCCCAGGCTCATCAGTCGGGTTGCAGTGGCCACGTGTATAATTCATGTCGGGAGGGTAGAAAAGCTATTGCTGCATTTAGAGTGATCATCATCAGTGGTGGTGGTGGTGGTGGCCTCGGGCGAAATAAAACTAAGCAAACGACGAGGGGCACAAATAGCTCAATGTGTCGCCGGCTCGTAAACAGCGTGAGATTAACATCAGCTGGAATTCAAATTCTCAAAAAATTTTTTTATCCCAGTGATATTAAAATAAGCTGATTCATCTTATCTATCGAGTCGGCATCTATATTCACTCTCGTATCGCTCTGTATCGTCTCTTAAAAAGAGTCTACATGTACAGCGCTGTCTCATCGGTATCTCTCGTCTCCATATATCTCTCACTGGTCTGAATATTCTCTGCTCTCGTTTCACCAAATCGAAGAGGGGGTCTCCAAATATCTTCTTGGTTCTTTCGGTAAAGTCACGTAGAAGGGAAGTAATAAAGTAAAATAATAAAAATAAAACATTATTATTTTATTACTTCCCTTCTACGTGATGACTTTACCGAAAGAACCAAGAAGATGAATCCCTGCAGTCACGAAAGCTTTAAATCAAAGGTCTCCAAATACTTTCTGCTTCGGCCCCCTTGCTAATAGGGGGGGGGGAGGTTATAGCCAAACACTCATTCGTGTAAAGGTCCACACTGTGTAAGCAGTACCCTCCTGGATAGAAGCCTTGAGACTCGGCGGCGAGGATTTCCTGGCTCAACAAAAGGAGCACAATGCCACCGTTGACAGCTGAACCAAAACACAATTGCACCACAACAATACTGTCCAGTCTGGATTTGAAGCTTTCGTGACTGCGGGGGATCCATTCGCTTTGGTTCTTTCGGTAAAGTCACGTGGGTAGAGAAGTAATAGGTCTCGACGTTTCGATCGCAACGCAAGCGACCGTCATCAGGTGAGACAATCACAGCAGGGAAACTGCTGAACAAAATGTGAAGGGTCAATTCATTGGGGGGGGGGGGGGGGAGCTCAAGACATCTGGACCACTCTGTAGAGCACGTGGAGTTGCCGCTATTTCATGGACTAACAAAAGACAAAGGCCCCCCCCACCGTGTAGCCTTAACAGACTGTTTGGGTCAAGTGCTGTGCGCGAGTAGCACCCATGAAGGGCCGCCCGCCGGCACTGTGGAACACGAGAGGGTGGGTGGCGGTGACGTCCCCGCGGCGCTCGTGCCAGGCTAGGTGCACACTGAGGGCCATCACGTGCCGTGTGGACAGGTCACGGGACGGGCTCGGGTCCCATGACTGGCGCACAAAGACAAAGATCCCCCGTGTAGCCTTCACAGACTGGTTGGGGCAAGTGCTGTCAGCGAGTAGCAGCAGCACCGATGAAGGCCACCGACACTGTGGCACACACACAGAGTGGGGTGGGTGGCCAGCCACCACGCCCGGCCGCCTTTGTCTCCCCTTACCGGGTACTCATTTGAGGCTGAGTCGACCTAGGGGAGGCCCAGGACCGGTTCAGATAATCGTCACTCGTTGGTGACCGTGAGCGGGGAATCGAACTCGGTTCGTAGCGCGGCAGCGGCGCGCTAACCACTACACCCACCGCTCCCCATTGGCTGGCGTACACCCCCACACGGACTCACACACACAATGTTGTAACGCAGCCAAACTCGACAACATATTCACAAACACGCATCTTGCACACATCCACGTTTACACCCATTATAATATAACGTGTATTGAACAATCGCACGCACGCACAGATCCACAGCTCCCCTTAGTAAATGAAATACATCAGGGTCGGTAAAACCCCCGGTGGACACAATCACCATCACCACCACCAGCATCACCACAATCACTACCAGCATCACCACCACCAGCACCATCATCACCACCAGCATCACCACCACCATCACCACCAGCATCACCATCATCACCACCATCATCACCAGCACCACCACCAGCACCATCATCACCACCACCAGGATCACCATCACCACCAGCATCACCACCATCATCATCATCACCACCACCAGCACCACCATCACCACCAGCACCACCAGCATCACCACCACCAGCACCATCATCACCACCACTACCATCACCACCATCATCACCACCACCAGGATCACCATCACCACCAGCATCACCACAATCACCACCAGCATCACCATCACCACCACCAGCACCACCATCACCACCAGCATCACCACCACCATCACCACCAGCATCACCATCACCACCAGCATCACCATCATCACCACCATCATCACCAGCACCACCACCAGCACCATCATCACCACCACCAGGATCACCATCACCACCAGCATCACCACCATCATCATCATCACCACCACCAGCACCACCATCACCACCAGCACCACCAGCATCACCACCACCAGCACCATCATCACCACCACTACCATCACCACCAGGATCACCAGCACCACCATCACCACCAGCATCACCATCACCAGCATCAACAGCATCACCATCACCACCACTAGCACCACCATCATCACCACCACCATCACTATCATCACCACTAGCACCAGCACCACCACAATCACCACCACCAGCACCACCATCACCACAATCACCACCATTATCACCACCACCACGGATTATCACCAGCACCACCAGCACCACCACCACCAGCACCAGCACCACCACCATCATCACCACCACCATCACCACCACCATCACCACCATCATCACCACCACCATCACCACCACCAGCAGCATCATCACCACCAGCATCACCAGCAGCATCACCACCACCACCATCACCACCACCAGCACCACCACCAGCATCACCAGCATCACCACCATCACCAGCATCATCACCAGCATCACCACCACCACCAGCAGCATCACCAGCATCACCACCATCACCAGCATCATCACCAGCATCACCACCACCACCAGCAGCATCACCAGCATCACCACCATCACCACCACCAGCATCACCACCACCACAGATTATCACCACCATCTGCGGCGGGGCGAGTGTTACCATGGCGCTCACGCAAACCGGACCGATCCCGTTTGAGCCGGAGAGATTTACTCTCTCCCCTCTCTTTTTTTTCTCTCTCCCCTCTCTCTCACGCCACTCTCCCCCCCACCACCACCACCCTCTCGCACACACACTCACTCCCCTTTCTCTCTCTCTCTCTCTCGTGTTGTGT